GATGATGAAGATCAAGCACTATTGCTGCTGTGTGCTTTGCCCAGAACACATGCTCACTTCAAAGAAACTCTCTTGTATGGAAGGGAGTCCCTGACCTTTGAAGAAGTTCAATCAGCCTTGTATTCTAAGGACTTGAACGAACGAAAGGAGCATAAACCTTCGACGGTGGGCGAAGGTTTGGCCGTTAAGGGAAAATTCTTGCGAAAGAATGGTAAGTTCGACAAGAAAAAAGGTAAAAGTCAACAAAAGTCTTATAGTGGCGAAACATCTAGTATTCGATGTTACCACTGTAAGAAGGAGGGTCACATAAGAAAGCTGTGCCCTAAACGCCTGAAAGATCATGGAGGTAATGGCAATGCAGCCATTGTTCAAGATGACTTCGACTCATCTGATGTTCTTGTGGTTTCAAGTGGCGACTCGAGGAAAGAGTGGATTATGGATTCAGGTTGCACTTGGCACATGACTCCAAACAGAGAATTGTTCGAGGAGCTATGTGATCAAGATGGTGGATCTGTGCTGTTAGGAAACAACAAATCTTGCAAAATTGCAGGTATTGGATCTGTGAGATTCAAGCTCCATGATGAGTCAATAAGGTTATTGACTGAAGTCAGGTACGTACCTGACTTGAAGAGAAATTTGATTTCTCTTGGTGAATTCGACAGAAAAGGATATGTTTTTCAAGGAGAGAAAAGTATCCTAAGAGTCATGAAGGGGTCGAAGGAAGTCTTGAGAGGCGTGAAGAAACAAGGCTTGTATACCCTTGAGGCTGAGGTTGTAAGTGGTTCGACAAATGTTGCATCCACGAAATCTATGTCGAAGACAGAATTATGGCACATGAGATTGGGCCATGTCAGTGAAAGAGGCCTGGTCGAATTGGGGAAGCAGAACCTGCTAGGAGGTGACAAAGTTGAAAAGTTGGAATTTTGTGAATCTTGTGTAGTTGGTAAATCCTGTAGGGCAAAGTTTAACAAAAGAAATCAAAGAACACATGGATCCCTGGATTACATTCATGCTGATCTTTGGGGGCCTGCAAGGAATCCTTCACACTCAGGTGCAAGGTACTTTCTATCCATCGTTGATGACTATTCCAGAAAGCTATGGGTATTCATTCAGAAGACGAAGGATGAAACTTTTGAGAATTTCAAAAGTTGGAAGATTCTGGTCGAAACTCAAACTGGCAGAAAGGTTAAGAGGTTGAGAACCGACAATGGCCTTGAATTCTGCAATAAAGCGTTCAACAGTTACTGTGTTGAGTCTGGGATTGCAAGGCATAAGACTGTAGCAGGTACTCCTCAACAAAATGGCTTAGCTGAGAGATTCAATCGAACAATCCTTGAAAGGGTTAGATGCATGTTGGTTAGTGCTGGATTGAAGAAGGTGTTTTGGGCGGAAGCTGTTTCGACAGCAGCTTACCTGATAAATAGATGTCCCTCGACTGCCTTGGGAATGAAGACACCTGAAGAAGTTTGGTCGGGACATCCACCTAGTCTCGACAGACTGAGAGTATTTGGTTGTGTGGCCTATGCTCATATTAGGCAAGACAAGGTCGAACCTAGAGCTCTGAAATGCATGTTCATGGGATACCCTGAAGGAGTCAAAGCTTATAGGCTATGGTGCCTAGAGCCAGGTCACAGGAGGTGTATCACCAGTCGAGATGTAGTTTTCAACGAAGCAGAGATGGCTTTCAAGAAAACTGATGATGCTGACGAAGAGCTGGAACAGGGAGAGATTCCTGTTGAGGTGGAGCATGTTGATGCTGAATTGCTTACCCCAGATAAAGTCGAAGAAGACACAGAAGATGTTGTCGAAGATGAGGAGACTAATAATGACTACCTGCTAGCAAGAGACAGGTCGAGGAGAGTCATCAAGCCACCTCAGAGACTTGGGTATGCAGATCTTATAGCTTATGCCTTAATCTCTGCAAGTGAGGTTCTAGACGAAGAACCTAGAGACTATAAGGAAGTTATGAGAAATCAAAAGAAGACAAATTGGTCTTTGATGTATGCTATGGTCTGTACTAGACCCGACATAGCATATGCAGTAAGTCTTGTAAGCAGGTACATGGCGAATCCTGGAAAGGCTCACTGGCAAGCATTGAAGTGGATTTTAAGGTACATAAATGGGTCTCTGAATAGAGTCCTAATTTATGGTGGAGCCTTGGGTGAAGATAGTAAAGCAGTAATCGAAGGATATGTCGACTCTGATTATGCAGGTTGTATGGATTCTAGAAAATCTATCTCCGGATATGTGTTCACTATGTTTGGGACAGCAATCAGTTGGAAAGCAACACTTCAGAAGGTCGTTGCCCTATCAACCACTGAAGCGGAGTATATTGCCCTAACTGAAGCTGTGAAGGAAGCATTGTGGCTTGAAGGTTTTGCAAAGGAGCTAAAATTTCAAGGTCGAGTTATCACTGTTAAATGTGATAGTCAAAGCGCAATACACCTGTCGAAGAATTCAGCCTATCATGAGCGAACCAAGCACATTGATGTGAGGCTGCATTTCATCAGAGGGGTAATCGAGCGTGGAGAAGTCCAAGTGCTGAAAGTTTCGACAGATCATAATGCTGCTGATATGATCACCAAGACATTGCCCAGTTGCAAGTTTTTCCACTGTATGCAGTTAATAAATCTGCATGAAGAAAGCTAGTTTCTTGATGTTATAGAGTTAGATCCAAGGTGGAGATTTGTGAGACATTGGATCGAACTCTAGTGTGGTCGAAGTTTGTTCGCAAGTAATGCGTGTTGTAGTCGAAGTTTGTTCTAACATGCATGAGTAAATATTGCTAAGGTTGTTAGCATGAGTAAATATTGCTAAGGTTGTTAGCATGAGTAAATATTGCTAAGGTTGTTAGCATGAGTAAATATTGCTAAGGTTGTTAGCATGTGCTATTTTATTATAAATAGGATGCTAGTTTCTCAATCTTGGCATAAGGAAAAATAGGAAGATAAAATCCTAATTTCAAGGGAGAGAGGTTATTTTGTTATTCTTGTATACTTGTAATCTTGTTCTAAGAGAAAGGAAAGAATAGCAGTTTAATAACCAATCCTTGTTGTTCCTTGTTGTTTTACCTTGTTTTCTTTGTTAACCCTAACCCTTGTGAGTTTCTTGATCATTAAGAAACCGTTTATACTTTGTTTAAAGGTATCCGATTCACAACAAATTATAACATTTGTTCACGAACCATAAACTCGTGTTTATCTGTAAATTATTCACGGACATCTACCTCGACAAAAATCGGTCGATCACGTGGTTTAACATCATCACTCACTTCATCTAGTTTAACATCATTGTTTCATTTCGTCTGATTTAACATTCATCCTCACAATAGCTTTGCGAAACATATCTGAGTGCATCATATCTAATACCACAAATAATAAAAAAAACATATTTAAATTTGAAGATGCATATTTGAACCACACCAAACTTTGTCGAAAGATGCATATCCAGACTCAATTTTTTTTCCAGTTCAAACAACACATAATGCAAAGAATGAGGGATAAAATGAAAGAACTTTACCTACAATTTCAACTTCTTTTGCTTTCTTTGATGTCATAAAATCGAAGAATAATGTTTTGGTGTTGAAAAGTTGATTTCATAATGCAAGAAAATTTTTTTAAGGGTTTTGAGTTTTAGAGAGATACTTCAACATGGAAAAAAAGATCATGCAAATAGTGTCTATCCAATTTTTTGCTTGGTATTATTAGATATGCATCTCCAAAAACATCACCAAGTTGTTAATTAAACAATTTCAATAAATTAAAATACCACAAATGAGTATAGAAAATTTTCAAAAATACATCTCCAAATATAATCAAAATCAAAATAATATATAGAGATACGTGTTTGAATCATATTTTACTCAAAATAAAATAGATATCTAAAAGATAAATACTGGTGTTGGGTTAAGGGTGAAAAGAGCATTTTAATTAGACTTTGCTGGAAGAATCCTTCAATATATATATTAAAATACCACAAATGAGTATAGAAAATTTTCAAAAATACATCTCCAAATATAATCAAAATCAAAATAATATATAGAGATACGTGTTTGAATCATATTTTACTCAAAATAAAATAGATATCTAAAAGATAAATACTGGTGTTGGGTTAAGGGTGAAAAGAGCATTTTAATTAGACTTTGCTGGAAGAATCCTTCAATATATATATATATATATATATATATATATATATATATATATATATATATATATATATATATATATATATATATATATATATATATATATATATATATATATATATAAACTTTCCTTTTAATTATTGTTTTAATTAATGTGTAGTGATATCGCAGCCTTCTTGAAATTCTAATATACTTAAACTTTGTTTTAGCTTACATTTATTAAGATAAAATATGAAAGACTGCAAATTTAAAGACATAAACCCAACTTAGAAAATTTAAATGGAAAAAATACAAAGTAAATAATTAAAACAAAAATTACGTAGATTTCTTTAATACTTAAATATGAAAAAAATATATAAAAAAAAAACCATTAGCTTACCTTGTATTTTTTTTTGTCTGTTTTCCTTCAATTTTCATGAAATGGAAATCCACAAATTACATTATGGGGCCTGTATTGCAGAAGATATATCTTTTTTTGAAGATATTAAAGTTTAATAAGTTATGAAAATCATATTATATTAGTTAATATTTTGACTTAATTTTAACCAAAAAAAAACTTTTGATTTACATATTATATAAGTAAGATACTTTAATTACTTTACTAATGAACAGTAATTTACAAGTATATTACCGAGTTTTGATTCCTCGGACAAGCTATCAACACAATACAAAAATCGCTCTGCAGTTGTTTGGCTACAGCAGTAATTGATAATTTGATGCATTCCTCAATAATTGAAACTTTGCCGTTACAAGTTTTGCTTTTTTTTTTCCTTTTATTTTGTTGGTTACATTTATAAGGACATGAGTAAACTGTGCAGAAATCCTAGTTATTCACACTTGAGAAAACGGAGATTTTTCATGGGGTAGAATTTACAGAAATCTCCTGAGGCAGAAGTGAAGCTACCTGGTCTTGATGAGATGGGAGAGCCAGACGCTGCAAGGGCTTAAGAGCCACCGTCAGCTGCGCAAATGAAGGGCGCAAATTTGGATCCCTGGCACAAGAGTGAGAGAGAGAAGAGGCAGAGAATGATCATCAAGTGAAAATGAAGTTTAAATCCACATTTTGTTTAACATTTTAAATGATGAAATATAGAAGAAAATAAGAGTAAATATAAGTCTAACAGACTTACTGTTGCCAACATTCCCAGATTATTCTTGCTACTAAAGGATCAACATCCTTAGGAATTTCAAGGCGGCGATTTTGGAAACCTACGGCACCAACAACTTGCATGGGATTCATTCCAGTCCATGGCAACTTCAGGGTGGCAAGCTCCCATAGGATGACACCAAAACTATAAACATCACACCTGTACATTTGAAATGATAATTAAGCTCAAGAGACACAGCTATCGACATAATTTAGTATACATATGACTCTAAAGATTTAGCCACTGATTAATTATACAAATAAGATATAAAGTAACAATTACAATCCAGAAATAACCTTAATCTTGAATTAATAATAACTCACTTCTCATTTGAAGGTTCATTGCGGAGAACTTCAGGAGCCATCCATTCCGGCTAACAAGTTGACAATAATCATGTCAGATATACAAAACACAGATAAGGCACAAACTGCAGGTGACTAAACAAATTTCTTAATTCTCACCGTTCCAGCAGTTGATTTGGATGATAAAAATGTGTTATGCTTCAACCTTGACAGCCCAAAATCGCATACCTGTAGAAATAATGGTTTGCTTTCAAGATCAAGTAAAAGTAAAATTCCACAAAGTGCAGTGATTTCTCCGCATTTCAGGAAATAAAGAACTACCAACCACATGAAAATAGCTTTTATACATACGCATTTGTCATGACAACAGTTCATAACTCAAGAAAACCTAAGCAACCCAACTCAAACTGATGGGCAGGTTTCCTTTTTAGCCATAGGTTGTGTTGGAACTTAAATTTCATTTTAAGCTGGTTTAAGCAAGTATACTTTAAAAAAAAAAACTACTATAACCCAAATCAAACTGCTTTATCTTTCATTTTAAACTATACAATTACAACAAAACATAAAATCAAATAAACAGTAATCTGAAGTGAAAAATGCTTGCATTTTCTTATAGGGTTCTCGCATACAACCTCTTTCAACATGCAAGAATTCTGGTTGAACTTGTATTCCAGATCTTTTGATATACTCATACTTGTTTTCAGGCTTTGACAGTTTTTATTATGCAATGTTTTAGAGTAGAAATTTTGTAACCATTTGATAGATATATATTATCATAACCAAGCGAATCATCCTATGTTCAGTTTATAAAAATCTCACAAGTTTTATTGGAATCCAAACTGCTAGGAAAATATTGGTATTTGGTTAAGCCAACCCAACTTTTATTTTCTGGGTTTTGATAGTCTTTCTACCATGAGGGTTTAAATTCGTTTAGTTTATAAAGTTAGCCAGAATGGATTCTTTAGGCTTCGATACCAACCTCATACGTACCCCTAAAGGTCACATCCCCAGCCATAAATGGTAGGAGGGTCCTATATTTTGGGACGAAGATAGTACTTCCTATATGACATCAATTGGGCATATATAGGCATAGCAATTTACTTATTAAGTCAAGCAGGTCCAAGTTTAACTTGACACAAACACCAAATAGACAATTACGCTGATTGTGCACCTCCCTATCGTCATATACATTACTATCCATTGCAAAAACAAAAAGCATATGGTAGCCGGTGTCAACGTCACCCACTTTATGATATCCCAATACCATACTTCCAAAAATGAAAATAAGAAACAAATTTAGTAAAGCACGGGATCAGAAATGGAACCCAAAATATACAGCGCTTGCACAAAAATTCAGAGTATATTCAAAAATTACAGATATGTAGATTTGATGTGCAACGAGAGAATTTAGGAATCAAATAAATGAGAGAAACAACAAATAAGGCACATGGTATAGCTCATGAATTTTCAATCATATACCTTAACGTTCCAGTTCTTATCAACCAAAAGATTTGGGGACTTCAGATCTCGGTGTACAATCGTAGGTGTGCTGGCGTGCAAGCAATTCATACCCCTAGCCTGTAAATTGGGATGTTCTAAAATTTGAAGTTCATCAATGTAAGTGAGAGGTGACAGGGAAGATGGATAATTATTTCATACCACATCAAGAGCCATTTTTATTCTCTGTTTCTCATCGATCTGACAATTAGGGCGATGAAGAATTCGGTACAAGCTTCCTCTGTAAAATTTTACAACAGTGATGCCAGTGTGACGCTCAAATATTGAAAGAGTAACAACTTGCCAGACCAACGTGGCTGATAAGAAGTACCATTATTCTGTTAAAAAAATTACTGATTGAAAAAGTAAAAGATATCTACCTCGGGAGAAACTCTGAAATGATTGAGAGATTGGGAGGCCGGGTGACAGCACCCATAAAAAGAACAACATTTGGATGACGCAGCCTACGCATTATCCGTACCTTGCAACAAAAGGATGGAAAGCAGATTAAGTTTGGCATTTAACGACACAACTATGATGAACCTTTCATATATAATTGTTTCTTTTCATTTTATTATTGCATTTCCATCACATTATCCACTCCCCGGCAAGTAACTTTTTACTTTTTCTTGACTGGTATCTCAATCCAAATTTTCTGATTAGTTTTATTTTGACAGAAATATAATAGTTTCTTAAAGTTCGCAGGGATTCATTGTTTCCTTTCTATTTATTTATGCAAATAAGAAAAACATTTGTTGTGTGTAAAAAAAAACCCTAAATCAAGCTTACTTCTCTTTTAAATTCAGACAAGGCAGCGCCTGAAAAATCCTGATCCAAAAATTTCTTCACAGCAACCTCCTGATATTCAAAAAGACAGAGCAACTCATTACCTTTCAGGAAAAAAAACTCGTGGTGTGACAGGTAGCAAACATAAAAAAAAGGGACCTCAAGTCATTCAATAACCGATAACTTCCTGGGTGTTGTTCTTGTTCTTTTAGGCTTTGTTTGGGAGTCTGGAGGGGAATGGAGGGGAAGGCTTCGAAAATAGGGAAGGATTGAGTGGGAAAAAATAGAAATTTAGGTGGGGAGGGTTTGCTTTTATTCGTAACACAAAATCCCTCTTATTTGGGGGGTACTCAAAATTTATATTGAATGAGTGTTTTGGAGGGCTTACATAAATTTTCCAGATATCTTTTATGTTATATTATTCTAAAAATTAAAAATATAGTAAGGATAACATGTTATCGTTCTATACAAAATCATTCTTTCAAGAAATGTCAAATATTTCTCTATATTTTTTTAAAAATTCTTTTTTGGAAGTCTTCCCTTCCCCTCCCCTCCAAACTCCCAAACAAAGCCTTAAGTTTTTATATAAGTTAAATTGTCATTCACAAATCTGCACTTACTGTGAGTTAGTAATGCCATTATTTTTATTACATTAATATCACTGTAACACTGTAAACAGATAAATGGCGTGAAAAAACAACCGCAGCATGGTTATAATTCTTTATTATTAGAAAACAGAAACTAAAAAAATAATAGAAATGACAGTATTAGAGAATTGGTAGCACCAATAGAAGAAAAAATAAGATGGTGGAAACTAGACTTATGCAGTTTAAGCATGTAGAGAAAAGATATGTGATAAGGAGAGAAGATCATATGGAGGGTAGTCAAACTGCTAGATATAGAGGAAAACCTAAAAAAACTATAAGAGAAACTATAATGAAAGTTCTCAAGATAAATAAGTGGATAGAAACATAGTTTTTGGTAGAACATTATATGGTGTAGTTTGATGCATGTAGCCAATCCCTTTTAATGGGATAAGTCCTTGTTGTTGTTGTTCTGTCATGCAGACAGGGTATAAAACTGTCATGACTAAAAACAAGACAATATAAACAACTTCCACTTCAATCTACAACAATAATCTTCCATGCATGTAAGGAATTATAGTACTCACCGTGCCATTCCAGTCCGCTCGGTATACCTCACCATATGAACCTATTTGAAAGAATGCAGGGATATTAACAAATTAATACTCATCAATAAACACGAAAGATTTAAACATGCCAGGAACATCCCAAACAACTACTAACAATCGTTTTCAATCTGAGTCAAAGGTAAATCACATGCGAAAAATAGGAAATTTTGTGAAGTTAAAACATGTTTGTGATGACCTTCAGACTATATGGCTCATAAAAAAACTATAAACTATGTGTTTGCACAAGTATAAGAGCAAAAATAGTAACTTTAACAATTTTTTTTATTTTTTGAAACGGAAAATATTAATATAATGATCGCAATTTGAACTCAGTAATTTATTCAATAAAAAAGTATGATAGAAAATAATGTTAGATCTAAGTGATTAATGACTGTATGCATCTGATGCGAAACTCACAGAAATAGAAACCAGAGCCAAGTCAAATTAACTGTAAATATTAATGACATTCCTACAAGAGGATAAAGACAAATCATTCACATTACCTAGACCAATTCTTTCACCAATAACCAGATCCTCCCATGGAATCTCACATTCACCAACATCTGCATCGTCTAATATTTGATCGACCCTGTTTGTAATGGAATCAATTGAAGAGCTAGGACTATCTGAATCTTTTAATTGTAAATTGCTTCCCATGAATCTGTCATATATGCACTTCCTCCTGTCACGATATCCAAGTTCAGTGCTTTCGGGTTCATTAAATCTCTTTACCATGACATTCTGAGAACTTTCCAAATCATCCCTTCTAAAATCAGCATTGTGACCTTCGATCCGGTTCAGCTCGCCTACAACAGCTGATGAGGCTGAACCAATAATTTGTGCAGAAGTTTGAGAGCTAATATCATTATTTATATTTGAATTGTATGATGAATTGGAAGTGCTGAGATCAGTATGTTCAGATGTGAAAGTGATATTGGAAACAAATAAAGGAGGGTTATATTCATTAGGGTTATGATTAGTTTTTCTAGGGACTTCGTTGTAGGCATGCTGATTCTTCCACATCAGTGGTGACACGGGTCGACCAGAAACAGTATTGATTTTTGTACCGTGCTCAGGAGGTTTATTTTCCACAGGTTTGTTGTGCACAGAGGACTTCCCGGTCCCTTTTATCAAGAATGGGTTCAGATCTGCAAAAAGGTTCTGAGAGTCGGTGGGGTTGTTCTGGGCATATGGCACAACATTGACATTCAATCTTGTCCCATCACCCACGGTATTCATTCCAAGAGTACCTTTGTACAAAGAATTACCATATGAAAGTGGCAAATTTTCCCGTTGATTAGGACTCCCTCTATTAGGAATTTTAGAAGGACCAACACCAGTGTCTCTGTTCAAACCAAAGTTTGAAGGCATAAACTCTGACTTCTCAGTATATGATTGTCCATTCCAAGGCATCGTAGGACCTTTTATTACAGAAGTCTGACTACTGCCTTCACCATTAGAGGGTGGTATAGGTCTTGAGTAAGAAAGCCCAGTTTCCTCAATGGAAGGCAAACTCGGCACAATCTTGGGGTTGTACGACTTAAAGGCATTATCCTTTGCATTTAAAATATCAGCTGGGATGAGTGTTCCAGGAGCAGCCATGAGATCAACTAAAAACTCCCTGAGAGCATAACAGTATAATATCAGTAGTCAACACCAAGGGACCAGAATATCCACAGGAATTTCTAGGCACACTTACAAAGACTTCCAATGATTATTAACCATTGCTAACACATGATAGAAGATAAAAAAGGGAAACATATAGACATGCACATACAAATGAGTAAGTCAACAACAAATACATAAAAAATACAACAATAACAAAAGCCTTAACCTTTCATCATCTAATTTTATAATGTTGACAGCATCATCCTCAACACCAGTGTAATGACTGCCTTTAACCAGTCTACAAGGCATCTTAATGTTGTCTGCTAATATCTACATCCATAAAAACAAAAGGTGTATTACACAGCCAACAGAATGATCAGAAACAGAGTAAGAGTAATCATCCATAAAATGCACAGAAAATATACTAATTTTAACAATACAATTAATTCTCAATATGCAAAACAAGACTTAGAAAGTATACACCGTGAATTCAAAGCTTAGAAACCTATAACAGTTTTAGAGGTACAGATGACAGAGTCAGCCTAAAATTTGAAGACTCCATCTTAATTGATTCAGCAGCATTTTCCCATTGAGTTAAGTATATACTTACATCCTCAAAATTTATTTTTTTAATATACATACCTAGGCTAGATTGGCAGGGAATACTTTCCCAGTGTGAATAATTCTAAAAAGAAATTATCAGATTCAATTTTATTAATTCATAAGTCATTTCTTTTTTAAAATAAGTTTCAAGTGATTGCAGTATTTAATAATACTGCACCTATCATATCATGTAAGCAAATTCTTTTATGGCTCACAAGATTTCAAGCACCAAGAAGCGATTGTGCTAACCTTGAAAAGTAAAGCGCGATGCCTAGAGAGCCCAATATCTAAGGACCCAAGAGGTAATACACTTGTGTGAAGAGATGTCCTTAATTCTGTACTTCTTTCTGTCCATTTTGCTAATATAATATTAGCATCCTTTACAGGGCCGCCCATATGGCTAGTAACAAGTTCGGCAAGCCTTTGCACCAAAATACCGATCTCAGTGACAGGACAGTCCAATGCTATACAATGTGCAATTTGCACCAGCTCGTCCAGGGCAGGATCAATTGTTCGATTAACTATGACCACTTCAAAGCTAGAACCACCTGAGTTTGTTTCAAGATCAGCTAGAGATGGCATCTTTCCTTGCATTGCCGGGTCATTATAGAGGCCATATACGTCATAAAAACCATCTACGACTTTCTCTTCATAGTCAAGCACATTGTATTCCTGGTCCCAACAAAAAAATTAAATGCACAAAGACATTAATGGAAATGTGAAAATAGTATTAATGGAGATAAAAAACTGGTCAACATTACATTTTCACAAAATTCAATTTATGACTTATTTGTTTCCATTTTGGTGCTCAACTGATGAATATAAATGAAGGAGTGCATGTTCACTTGTTGCAAGTAAGCATTGGCATGTGATGGAGCATGTGTGCGTGTATAGAAACTTTACCTAAAGAAACAATAAAGCAAGTTTTGTCTTTACATAAATTCTATTCAATTTTAGTCCCTGTTGTGCTTTTATAGGGACTAAGTTTGTAATCCAAGTAGAGGGACTAAAAGCATCTATTCTTTGTGAAGAGTTTTCAAAATACGAACTAAAATTGAATAGAACTTATGTGGGTACTAAGCTTGAATATTCATGATTTTATAGGGACTAAAACATGTTTAATAACCCATAAAAATATTAGGTAGAAAATCAAAGCAATTGGTATTAAAGAGATTAATAGCTATGCACTGAATGTAATTAACCACGTTTTTAAACTGTGTGAACCATCTAAATTGTTGTCAAAATTTGTGTGTCAAAATATAATTCCTCCAATTATATCCCTCTTAGAAAGTCAATCAAAGCTCAAGAGCTGTAAAACATACAATTGTGGATTACATCAGAAAGTTCATCTCAATATACACTGAATGAACAAGTTTAAAAATTCAATCATGCCTTACTTTTCAATGTTAATTGCCAAACACACAAATAAATGTCTAAAGATTATAAAATAACGATCCACATTTCTAATTTCTAGCTATGTATTAATATTACACTACCAAAGGCACATAAACAATCAGATCAGTTCATATTCAGACTATAAATGGGGAGATATTCATATAATTCTTAAGATCCCACAATGCATAACAGATTCTGCTAAAGGCGAATAAATGGAAATTGGAATACTTTCAGAGTTCAGTCTACTCCAGGCAGAAACGAAATTTCTCCTCAAGTCCCCAACCCTAGTCACATCTAAATTCCCAAATCTAACCTTCAAACACAAATAAATCCAGTACAAGAACAGATTGACTAAAGTTCCAAAAAAAAAAAACTAGAACAATAATCACTCAGCAATAGCATAAACCCCTAAAATTGACCCTCACTGGTTCATTCCAATTAATCATAAAAAATACCAACATTGCCAGAAGTTCATTAGAAAAGTCGACGAAACTCACCCAATACTGCCTCGAAAGCGCCTCCGCCACATCATCCTTATTCGAATCAATCCGATGTCCTCCCAAACTGAGTAGCGTTGCCGCATGGATCTGATCCTTCTCCGGATCATCACCACGGAACTCCGAATTGGAAGCACTGATAGCTAGGGCTAACTGTACCTGAAATTCCTCCTCCGATGAGAAAAAGTCTTGCCGATTGACTACAGCAGACAAACCACCACCGGCGGAAGCAGGAGGAATAGGCACTGTAGACGGTGACGAGGAAGAAGTAGTGGCTGAAGAAGCGCCGGAAGTGTGAACAGGCTCGGCGGCGGCGTCAGACGTGGATGGTACAGGTGGCGGAATTTCATTGGATCGATGAGGATCGTGACTGCTACCTATATGAAGCTTCTTGAAGATGTTCTTCATCCTCTCTTTTTTCTCAGTTGGTTTTTCTTTCTTCCCTCTTTCACTCATCAAAGCGAAATCGGAATCACTTTCTAATTCTAAATTATACAGAAATACAATCACAATCTACTGTTTATTTCAGTTTCTTGAATTCTTTCGGTTTTATTTTCTCTCGGAAATTATGCGCCCTTTTTCCTTGTGTTTGTGTGTGCTTTTGTTATGGTCAAGGAAGAGACTTGAGAGGAAAGTGTTGGGAGGGAAAAACTTTGGGAGAGTGAAAATTAGACTAGAGAACTAGTGATGATGTTGGCAATAGTCGGTAAATAAAATGGGCAAAAAATATTGGTAAATAACGAAAATGACACGCACACTTAGACGCGCTAATATCTCAGCGCGCCAATTCGATGACGACATGCGGATCTACGTGTCCCGCGAATAGTCTACGTGGAGGTTGTGAACTTTTCTCACGAGAAAAATATTTTGATTCTTATTTTTAAGAGTAAATAAATAACTCAGAAAATAATTTAAATAATATTATTTATAAAATTATTAAGTAATATTTTTCAAAAAACAAAAAAATTAAACTTGATTGTTTTGCTTATCAAAAAGATTTTAAAAATTCTAATTATGTTGTTATGTCTAAAAGTTTATATAAACTTTTTTATTATATCTTATTTGTTTTTATTTTATCATGCGAAATTTTATAAATGTTTTATATTGTTAGAGATACATTTTCGAACGCATTTCATTTTTGAATAAATGTTAACATATTTGATAAATATATTTTCAGAATAGTTTTAAACTTTAAAAATACATAACATATCGCCCTAACCAATTTATATTTGATTTGTTTTGGAGATGCATCTACGATAACGTTTTAAAGATACATCTCCGAAGTATATCTAAATAGGTTTTTTTTTATAACGAGCTTTGTATTTGTTTTTAGATGAAAATATATACGTAGAAATTAATAAAAGACTAATATTGTGTGTCGAAAATAATATAACAGTATAATAGTAAAATGTCGTACATCATGAGATCCAAAATGTAATAATAATTTCATAAATAAAGTGCAAACTATAATACAACATCGAAATAATAACAGGCTACTACTAGGTGTGTCTGACAACCTCTATTTTATCTTATCTGCATGTTTCGCCTGCTCTGTCCCCTCGTCCATCGATCCCCCCATCCTCCAACGACTTTGCCGGTACAACAGTGTCTCATGTGCCTCCGCCACTATGACATCCAGGACTCTTTTGACAGCAGACCCCTCAAGGAAGATACCCTCGTCAGTGTCATCTTGTGCAATCTAAACTATGTGAAGACACTGAGGCAAGACATCCTCAATATGATCTAGCTGAGTCTGCTCCTCCTCTAGAGTCTCCTGATGAGCTGGTCTCGACGGATCTTCTAGAGCAGTATGCGCTATGTATGGATGTGAGACCCTAAAGAATAACCTAATGTATCTATCGACATAACTCCAGTCGTTCGGCGCTATGTTAGTCCGAGCCTCATCCGGTAACATGTGACTCTGAATAACAAAAAAAACATTCAAGAATTAAGAATTATTATCACCAGTAGTTTCACACTGTCTGTGACCTGCTTCGTCTTCCACTGACATTCATCTTTCAACTTCGAATATAAATAGGTCAGGCAAGCTGCCTCCTAGTTATACTCATGGATCTGAGTGAGATCTAAAAAGTACCAAAGGTATGCAACATCAGTAAAAGCGACACTTGTGTCCATAAAAATGCAAGTGCCAACCAAATAAAAAAATATGCCCTCAAAGCACGGGTACCATGTGTTGCCACCTGCTCACCATCAATGTAACACCCCAAATTTTAATTGGAATATTTTAATTAATTGATTTAATTAAGAATATTCAATTTCAGTATTTTTCGGTGACTTTGTGAATTATTGAGGAATTATGCTTTTTGGAGTATTTATTTTGGAATAATAGTATGTAATATGGAATTATTAATATTATTATGAATTAAAAAAGTATAAGAGGAATAAGAGTAATTTGGGCGTTAAGAGGAGTTAGTAAGGATGTTATAGGAAAAGGCCAATTGTGTGGCCCAAGACTAAGTTTGACAAAATAGAATTCTGAAGGTTTAGGATTTATTTGGTTAACCGTGAAAAGAATGGAGGCCAGAGCTCTGAGGAGGGAGAAGTGGAGGCAAAAGTTTCGGAAGATCCCGAAGATAATCGTGAAAGTTTTGAATCGGTTAAGGTATGGGGAGTATAGCTTTTCATGATTTTCCATGTATACCTTTCGATGTGTTTATGGTTGATTTGGGGGTTTTAGGGAGAATTATGGGGAAAAAGGATTTTGGCCTTCATGGCCAAAATCTATCATTGAGATTTTGACTGTGAGAAGATTAGAAGGTTATGAGAACAAGTGATATATGGCCTTCGTGGCCTGGATCTATTATGGAGGTGGTAACCGTAAGGATTCTAAGGGTAGATATGGGAAATAATGATATTTGGCCTTTGTGGCCAAAACCTTAGATTATTATGGTCTGACCATAAGAAATAGGAATATTCAAATGTGAAGTAACTCGGATGCCTTCAGGGAAATTGTAGGTAAATTGTGATTTAGGATATGAATATGTTACGGGATTGGCCTAATAAAACGCAGGTTTTGTGTCGTTATCGCCGAATGACCTTAGGGATGATTTAGGGATGTTTTAGGGGCATGGGGTGTGTGAATCGTATGAGTTTTTGGGTAGAAATCAGTTCTGGTGCGTAACAGATTTTGCTGCCATCGCGTTGTTCGCCTAGCGAAGACTCGCCTCAGACTCGCCTAGCGAACATGCCAGCGAACGTAGCAGAGTTTCACGAATGTTGATCGCGTGCAGCGATGCCTTGATGTTTGATTCTGAGATTTCTGATATGAGTTAACATGAGTATGACTGTGAGGAATTATGTGATTGATAGGCGATAGTGTGAGGATTACCGCGAGTATAATTTGATTAATTAATATGTGATAATATGGGATGATATTATGAATTAATACGAGATAATATGGGATAATATTATGAATTAATATGAGATAATATGGGGTAGTATTATGAATTAATATGTGATAATATGATGGGCTAATATGAGGATGACTATGAGCTAATATGTGATTTGTACATGATTATATGACGATTTCCATGATGTGTGATGATGATTATTATGATGAATTATATGATGACATGATGTGTGAGATTAATTATTATGATGAATTATATGACGATTTCCATGACGTGTGATGATGATTATTATGATGAATTATATGATGACATGATGTGTGAGATTAATTATTATGATGAATTATATGACGAAATGATGTGTGATGATGAGTATTATGATGTGTTGTGATGACATGATGAATGATGATGATTATTATGATGACATGATGTATGATGATGATTATGATGATGAGCTATGACGTTTGATGATGATGAATATGATGAATGATGATGCACCTATGATGTTATTATGAGGATGCTTTGTGACGTGTGCATCATGCATTCATGTGCATCCGGACTTCGGTTCAGGACCTCGATTAATTTGGCTTCAATCCCACTGTGCGGATATGAAGTATTTTGATGTGCTCCTGTTCTCTAGTAGAATCGATCCTATTAATGGGGATCTATGGAGGGTTGATGGCCCAATGTCCATCGAGCTGTGATGATTGGTACCACATGCATTGAGTAGTGTCGCATTGTGTAACACCCTTCTAAACCCCACGGAAAAATAAGCATTATCAGAATAAAATTAACATGCATTCACAAAGGGCGTCACAATCATACACTTCCAATTACTAAAAACCATATGTCATGCTCAATAACACTAAAATAAATAATCATACTTTACAAAATTTCATTTGCATGTAGCAGCGGATTCATTTATATCACACTTTTTCATAAAAGAAATATTTGGGATTATCACATAAATCAACATCACTCAGGCACTGAGGCCAACAACACAATATATGTTTAAAACGTAACCTAAATGATCCCAGTGTTACATGACCAGAGCACGAATCGACCTAATACAATTAAATCACTAAACAGCTACACCAATAGCGACCCCGCAACTACGAGCAGTACTACTCCTTGATACCTGCACAATATCATGTAGGACATCATTCCAGCAGAAGGGTGAGAAACATTATCATAATAACAATGCATATAATCATATATAAAGCACAATTACATAATACATATATTCCACATTTTTCTCACCACAAATCATTATAATCATCATATAAATCACAACACGCGTGTAAACCAAGATGGATAATCACTCAAGCATTTTTCATTAAGCACACCTCCATAATTCTCAACCCTAACAACCCACACCCGTATGCACACTTTCATACAACATTCACCTATATTATATGACTCATATAAACTCATCAACTCACAGTTACACATTTACAAACCTCAGTTCATCAATTCATGCTCATAAGCATACTTCCATACAATAATCATATATTCACAATGCTCATTTACACAAGTCATACACATACACATATTTTCCCCATTCTCACTATGCTTCATCATGACTCATCATATACTTCATAAAGCATATATATATATATATATATATATATATATATATATATATATATATATATATATATATATATATATATATATATATATATATATATATATATATATATATATATATATATATATATATATATATATATATATATATATATATATATATATATATATATATATATATATATATATATATATATATATATATATATATATATATATATATATATATATATATACACACACACACACACACACACACACACAAACAAATATGTACAATCATCAAACATACCCATAATTCTCATCTTTCCACATAAACAAACACATATGCATCACTACTTTGTCAGGACAACTTCCAGGCAATCACGACTGATCGGAAAACCACCACTTTCCACTTTCGTTAGTACACAAAAGTCCTAAGTACTTGGCCTTACTCCAAACCATTCACTGCTCACGTCATCTAAGCTTGCAAGATACGTCTATCCCATCCAACACAAT